AATTAGTTTTGCCTGTACTTCTTTCTTAGGGAAATGGTCATTTTTAGAATGTGAGTCATGAGCTGGCAGTGACAACGTTTGAATTCTGGGTGTTGTAACCCAGAATTGTCTATTTCCTTTTCACCCCCAATATAAACCACATTTTCTTCTGTAACTTTCCTACCAATGCTTTTGATGCTGCCAACTGGCTTTTCCCCCATTAATAATGAGACTCAGCTTGCCTTGATTTCTATGGTAGCTTCTTGCCAAAAGAAATAAACACATTCACCTTCTATAAGCGCCGTGGGAAGCGCGTGTGAAGACACGGGTTTTGTTTGGCTAAGGTAGCCACCAATACTCACGCCTGCTGTCCTGGGACTCTCTACCTCTGATCAGCAACACCTTTCTCCTCTCCTGGGACCATCCTGCTCTTCCCATTGCTGTGTGATTTCTTAACGGTAATTAACACGAATGCTCTGTTACACAGTGAGAGGAGGGACCTGAAGTGTCGTCATCGCCAGGAATCTAATTCTATCGCGCTTGTTGAGACAGTCTCCCTTCGGATTTCATTTTGTTCTGCTGGATTCCCTATGGTGACAGCTCCTGATTCTCACTCAGTTGTCATTCACTTGAGGGCACTTTCTAGAAGGAGATAAGATTCTCTTTTCCTCACATGGATTCAAGTGCCGAGGGGGGAAGACACAGACACTATCCAGCATCCAACAGAAAACAGGGTGTGTTGTCTTGCTGGGTAGGGAAGAGGAGGATGCCGGGCTGTGAGGCTATTCCCCAAAAGCCCACACACCTTCCCACAGGCGGGGCCCTTAGAGCTGCCCCGGTTTGGTGTCAAGGGCTGGGTTGTTGAATGTGAGTCAGGACTCACCAGGTCTGTTGCCAGGCAAAAGCCAGGGAGCATGGCAGCTGGGCCGAGCGGCACTGGTTGGATAGCACCATGGTTCCAAAGTCAGCCTGCCCCTGCCCTCCGGCCACTTCAGCGCCCTTCTATTACCAGTCACAACATTTCTTGCTCTGGCCAGATACCAACAATCTTCCACTGAATGTGACCTTACCAAAAACACCCGCGAAAAGTCGGGAATAGATTCTCCTCCTCCCTTCCTGGGGCCACATGGAAGGATTCCCCACCCAGCAACCTTGTAGCATTCTGACAGCCCCTGGAGGACCATGGCCTGGCCAGTTCCTGACTTTGCCAGCAGGTATCGTTATTGCTCCAGGGGCCACAAGAAGACAGCCTTCCCATTAAAAGCCATGCATTCAGTAACATCTCTGTGGTGTTTGTTAAGCACTTTCTCCGCTATGACGCTATCATGAGGATGGTGTTATATGTGTTCTCACAGACCTGGCTGGGCAGGTCACCTCTGACATTTGGAATACTCTAACAGGAGAAATAAGAAGTGAGTGACCAGTCACTTGCTGTCTAGGTGAGGAAAACTACCACCAGTGCAGCTCAGTTGTGCAGCAAATGGGCCTGGCTGGCAAGGACTGCGCCCCCAGCGGGAATGAACTTTTTCTTCTTGTTCTTCATAACAGGAACTACCATTTCCCACTGTTTATTCTCATGCTTCCCATATATGTTAACCCCATTTCTCTGGAGTAGGGTAAGAATACCACACTGCCTGCCTTCCCATTCTGATTTGTCGCTTTCCAGTCCGATGCTCTATTTGTGCCTCCATTTCCCCCTCTGTATAATGGCACTCAGCCCAAAGGGCTGTTGTGAAGTGTGGCAGAGGCAGAGGCTGGAGTGAGGCTATAAGCCCAGGAAGAACAGGGGCTGGCCACAAACTCCAGTAAGGGAAAGGCCTGGGGCCCCTCCGAGCCTTCGGGGGACCTGGAGTTTACACTTCCACTTCTTTACTGCAAACCTCCGCCCCCCCCCCCATGTAGACACCATCTTTTCCACCAGCCCTGAAACGTAAGAAATCGTTATTGGTGGCCCACCTTCAAAACTATGTTTCTGATCCCACCCTGAGTTCACAGCGCAGCCGTAAAGTTCCTATGGCCAAAAGGTCCCTAGACAAACAGATTGGCCAATCAGAAAGGACCAACCAGCAGGGGAGGGGGAGGGGGCCATGATAACATGAGAAAACAAGTAAAACCTCTGTACATGCCAGAAAAGTCCGTACCCAGAAAAGTCTTCCTGCCACCAGAGAACGAAGTTTGGGGGGGTTCTTGGAGACAACCAAGGCCCACTTTTAAAATTCAGCCAAGCCTACCAGGTGCCTGTATTCAAGTTACCCATAGAAAATAATGAGATTTAGGTGGCGCTGCGGAAGGTTGTACACCCATGGCACTCAGCCAATGAGAAGCTGGGGGCGGGGCCTGTGCACTAGGAAGGGAAAATGCTTGCTTTGACTCCACTGGCCGTGTCTTTCCACCAGACACCCCCCCCCATCTTGTGAGACCACCATTAATCATCAAGCCCCACGTTTGCTGTATTTCATCTCTCCAAGTCCGTTTTCTGAGCTTGGATGAGTGAATGTGTTTCTCCCAGAACTATATGCAAAGTCCTTCAACTTGCTTCCCAATGGAGACCCCTGCTACCTCTGATTTGAACCGCTACACACCTTTTTTTTGAGGGGGGGGTGGTCGGTCGTGGGGCCTGAACTCTGGGCCTGGGCGCTGTCCCTCAGCTCTTCAACTCAAGGCTAGTGCTCTACCACTTGAGCCACAGCGCGACTTCTGGCTTTTTCTGCTTATGTGGTGCTGAGGAATCGAACCCAGGGCCTCATGCATGCAAGGCAAGCACTCTACCACTGAGCCACCTTCTCAGCCCAACACACATTTTTAAATGAGCTCTCTGCCCACAGCCGTTTGTGACCCCTGACTTTTTGGCCAGGTTAATCTTCACATACTATAAAAAATGCATTTCTATTCTTTATAAACTGTGAATTTGCATGTATCAGGACTTTATCCTTTGCAAAATACTGTGTATTGTTGGGACATAGTGTAGGAACATGTTTCAGTAAACATTCGATGGTTTAGAAGACTTTGCTTTTTTGGAAAGTGCAAGGCAGGCTGGGAAGGTGGCTCAATGGTAGAGCGCTTGCCTTGCATGCATGAGGCCCTGGGTTCGATTCCTCAGCATCACATAAGCAAAAAGGAAAGTGCAAGGCATCACTGAGTCTGAACAATACAAATTGGGGCAAAACTGGGGAGAGGAAGGGACTCTCTTCTAGTCCAGTGGTGCTCACACTTTACTAGGCACCAGAATCACCTGCAGGACTGGTCGGCGGAACACAAGTTGCAGAGCTTTCCTCCAGAGTATCTAATTCCAGTGGCCTGGGGATGACCCGGATTTGCATCTATAACCGGCTCCCAGGTGAAGCAGGTGGGGCTGGGTCAGATCCCTGCTCTACCTCGTGAACTGCACTGCCGCCATGTGTAGCCCCTCCTTCTCTTTCCTTGTCAGAAGAGTGGAGCATCCTATAAAGCTTCTCATCTTGTGGACCCAATGGGATGAAGACTGGCATTCTTCTACCCTCAGAGCACCAGGTAGGAGAGACAGAGATAGAGAGACACAGAGAGAGAAGGGGAAAGAGGGAGGGAGAGACCTGACATTCATAGGGTGCTTACTCACTCCTTGAGGAGACTATGTTGGAATCAAAGCCATGTTTGCCTTCCACCAGGGGAGGCCCAGCCTTGGATATGACCTTGCATCCGGCACTTCTACCAAGGAGGGCATTTCCAAGAAGCAGAGCTGCCTGAAGCTCCACCTTGCTTCAGCACAAGAGGCTCTGGAACGCAGCCCAGTGGCCCAGCGGTCCAGCCCGCTGATCTCCGCTCCCGGCTCCGCTCCCTGCTCCGCTCGCCTCTCCCTGAGGACAGCCGCCAGCATGGCGTCCTCTGTGCCCCGCTTGCAGTTTGAGAGGCTTTTCTGCATGCCCCTTCAGCTGAGCACGAGTCCGGTACCTCCTGTCCCCACACGGAGACCTGTGCACCCACTGTCTGCCCCCTCTCAAGCTGGTCCCTCAAGGGTAGGCAAATGCACAGGAGGTGTTTTTGGCTCACTTATTTAATCCTGACCTTTGACAGACTAGTTAGCCTATTTGGCCTCAGTTTACTCCTGTGAAAAATGAGGATAATCATGGGATTGAATGAAGTTTTTAATGTCCTATGAGAGTTAACATGAATAGAATTTACCCTATGAATATCATCTCTCTCTCATCTCTCTCTCTTCCTCTCTCTTCTCTGTGAATACAGAGGGAGAAGACAGCCAATAAACATACACCAGGAAGAACAGAATCTGCTGATACTTCAATCTAAAACTTGCCAACCTCCAGTGTACATCTTGTCATCGAAGTCACTAAGTTAATCGTATTTTGCTAACAGCAGTCAGAAGGAAGACATTTGCTGAAACACAGGGCAACACAAACACCTGTGGAAAGTTATGTAACCGGTCATTTAAATGGTTTGCTGCCATCTGTTTGGGGATGGCAGCTTTCTCCAATGGAAGGCAACGCTTCTCCTTGTTACTCCATGTGTTAGCAGAGGCTTATTTAGGAAAGAAGACACAACTTCGGGGCAGCGCCTCTCACACACATCTTTCAAATACTGCTGAGTGCTGTACTTCTCTTTCTGGAAGTTTTCTTTCAGCAGATCTGAGTTGGAATCCTGAAATCTTTTTTTTTTTCATTTTTCTTCTCAAAATGTTCAGGGCCTGTCTAGCAAGTTGAAAAAAAATATCAGAGAAAAGTTGCACAGGAGAACGATTCAATGCCCTTCTGAGTGCTAGCAGGATTTCATGCTAGAGGGTTTGTGATGTTTCCTGGTAAGGACTAAGAACACAGTGATCAGCACCCGATTCCAAACACCGGTGCCTTGGCCCATCACCAAACCCACCCTCACCCCGCACGCTGCACCTGCAGCCACTGCGCCTGTGCAGTGTCGTCATGGAGTCTGAGAGGCCTGCACTTTGCTCCTTCCTGGCTCACCTCCCGGTCAGTCTGGCCTTCCACTCCCAGCACTCCCCGCTTCTGTCTCATTTAAATGAAGCGTGAGCCTCTTCAGGGCCAGGCTCCGACCATGTCTTTCCTGACTCCGGTCTTGGTGGCCGTTGTGTGCATTTTGATTGTGTGGATCTATAAAAGTGCTGACAGACGTCTGCAGAGAAAGAAGGAGGGGACCCCAACTCCCCCGTGGGTGGATGAAGACTTGAAAGACACCACTGACCCCCAGCAGGCCGAGGAAGGTAAGGTGTGTGCCGGCCTGGCACCCCCTGGTGCAGAACTTAAGGAGAGGAAGGGGCCGGGCAGTCTTGTCATCGCTGGCACTGCCAGGCAAAAGCTGCTGGGGCTCATGTCGTCCTCGTTTAGCTCTCTGAAGGGGCTCATTACAGGCTGGCAGGGCGTGGGGGTAGGTTTTGATCAAGAACTCAGAAATGGAGTGCAGGGCATGGTGGCTCATGCCACCACCTTGCAAATCTGGGGCTAGAAACTGGGAGGATTGTGGGGCAAAGAGAGTGGGAGCAAAACTATGAGTGAGGCCCCCAGCTCAACCAATAAGCCAAGTGAAATGGTGCATACCTAGGAGCCCAGCTTCATGGGTGGCAGAGGTAGGAGGGTTGCAGTCTAAGATCAGTCCTGGGGTGAGGAGTAGAGGAAGAATGTGAGACTTTCTCCCCCTAAAAGTAACTAAAGGTGTGCAACAAGTGGTAGATAGCCTCCCCAGTGAACATGGGCCCTGAGTGCAAAACCCAGCATTTTGTGTTGTGGGTTAAGGACAAGCCCGGGCTCCTTCCTCCATAGGTGAGAGTCCAGTTCAGGAGAAGACACTGCAAGGACCTGGGGGAAGGTATTGAAGGTAGGTTGGAGGATGGGCAGGAAATGCATAGTAGTAGCAGGGAGTAGATCAGGTAGGGGAAGGAGCTTGAGCTAGGGAAGGCCTGGAAGAGATCGGGAGAAGTGAAGAGGATCCACAGGAGGAGGAGAAAGAGCCTCCTTGCAGGCTGAGGTGTTTATAAGCTACACCTCCCTGAGGAGGCCATAAGCATGTGAGAGTTCTCAGTGAGCGTTCAGACCTGTGGCCTTTGATGTTTGCTTTGCTCTTGATCCCTGAAGATATAAAAATGAAACTTCAAATTGGTAAAGGCAAATCAGAGAAAATGGACCTTTGGGGCTTAATTTTGTAAGTTCCTATTTTCCTTTTGGTGTTGGCCTTGGGATTGTTTGCTATTGTGTCAGCTCAATGATGTTAGAAAGAACTTAAAGAAATACCTTGGGCTGGGGATGTGGCTCACATGGTTGAGGGCCTGCCTAGCAAGCAGGAGGCCCTGAATTTCAAATCCAGTCCAACCAAAACCCAAAACTCATCTCATGCAGTGAGCTGAGTGATTTATTGATTTATTTTTATTTTCACTGGTCCTGGGGCTTGAACTCAGGGCTTGGGCACCATCCCTGAGCCTCTTTGTGCTCAGGGCTAGTGCTCTACCACTTGAGCCACAGCACCATTTTGGTGTTTGAGTGGTTAGTTGGAGAGAAAAGTCTCATAGGGACTTTTCTGCCCTGGTTTTGCTCTGCGATCCTCAGATCTCAGCTTCCTGAGTAGCTAGGATTACAGGCATGAGCCACTGACACTTGGCTGAAAACAACTTTTAAAGGCACATGTCAGTCATCAAAATGATTTCTCTGAACACTGCTTTTAAGTGGAACTAAATAGTAAGAATAAAGAACACTTTTGAAGCCTGTTTCTTTCCTTTCCTTTTCTATTTTTTTAAAGTCTATCATGGGGCTTGAACTGTAGGTCTGGGTGCTGTCCCTGAGTTCTTCAGCTCAAGGCAAGGACTCTACCACTTGAGCCACAGCTCCACTTCCAGTTTTCTGGTGGTTAATTGGCGATAAGAGTTTCATGGACATTCCTGCCCAGGGTTGGCTTTGAACTGTGATCATTAGATCTCAGCCTCCTGAGTAGCTAGGATTACAGGTGTGAGCCACCAGCACCCAACAATCTGAGGGATTTTTAAGCTGATGAGTAATTGTCCCAATTGACCTAATTCACCATAACAGAAGCTTGAATTTATCACTTTTTTGTTTTGGTAGGTAAAATTTTCCTTTCTCTCGATGTAGAACAAGATGAGAACTTGAAGGTCAACAAAGATCATGGTCAGGAGTCTGTAGATCTCTCCTTTTTTTAAAATTTGGAGCTGACGTGACCTTACAGACATTTTTGAGAACCTTATTTCCTTCTCTCCAGCGGCCACCTTGGGACCTAGAAAGTCGGTTGGATCTGCATCCCTTCCTGTCTTCTTTGCAGATGCTGATGAGTGGCCAGAGGTGGAGGAAAGTGTTGAGCTCATCCCGTACTATCACACTCGCTATCCAGAGGAGGAAATGGCCACGAGGTCCCGGGAGTTTTATGAACTCCTCCGCCAGCGACGGTCCGTGCGGTCCATCAGCGAGGAGCAAGTGCCCATGGAAGTCATTGAAAACGTCATCAAAGCGGCAGGTTGGTCATGGTCCAACATCAGCTACCAGGCTGCTGTAGAAATGGAAGGCCAAAATGTGAATAAAGCTAGGAGTGAGATCTTTATAAAGTCTCTACCGGGTGGTAAGCAAGTGCCAGGCGCAGTGGTTCTGCTCTCTACATTGTAACTGTTGCAAACATCTGCAAAGCAGATGTGACAGCTGGTCAACACCTTGACATTAGCCAACCTTCAGGAACTTTAATGTAAAAGTAAGGTTTCTGAAACATACTAGTATAGAGTAGAAGAGAAATATCTATCTTCTTTCATGTCTTTCCCTTTAAAACAACTCTCCTTTCACACACACACACACACACACACACACACACACACACACACTTATGTTTTTTTCTTGGCAACAAACTGTTTATATGACACATCCTGATTTTCTACATTTATTCTAATGAGCTAGGAAAATCTACCCTTGTAAATTCTTAAAGCAAACCAAAGCAAACCTCTTTTAATGTAAATTAACACTTTCTACAAAGGGGAAAATGAAATGCTTCACAGAAAAAGGGGAGGAGCTGGAAGAGAGAGAGAGACTCCTATTTGGAATCTCCTTTGAGCCCTAATCTTTTCTAAAGCAAATTCAAGTTCTCTTGCTAAAATTATTGCACGCCCATTGTGTGAAGAAATCAAGAATCAACTACTTCATTTCAGATAAAAAGATGGCAACATAGTTTATCTAACTAGGAGTAGTTTCTCTAGATTTCCTCTTGATAGCCGAGAATATGCACAAGAAGTTAAAACAAATTTTGCACAATTGAGAATAATACAGAGAAAACTAGTTACTATGTGTACAGGTGCACATATTGGTGAATAAGTAATGTGAATAAGTAACTGAAATTGCTCAGCAAGAAGGTAGGCACCCTTTTGGAGTTGAAGTAGTATATGCCACGTAAGAGCTTCACCAAGAGTCCACGGGCCTCTTGCCCTTCCTCTGTGGGTGGAGCTTGTTCTACTAAACTACTCACAGGGAAGGAAGAAATCACTGATTATGAGATACCCCACCTGCAGGTCACATGGTCCGTCCTTGGGAAAGGTGGGTTCTCTTTAGGACAGAGGGCTCAGATCGAGGTCAGCAGTTAGCTCCCAGTCTCCCAGTGGAACGTCAAAGGGGATTCAAGTCCCCTGCACCAGGGTGGTACCCAGGAGGTCTGCCCTGGGACGGGCCCAGGAGTGAGTAGAAGGCTCGCAGAGCCATGGGAGCAGAAAGACACTGTTCTGTGTATTAGACACTCAGGAGCAGGACTTCCCTAACTCCTGTGTGACCCTAGCAAGGTCACAAACCCCACCGTGTAGCCACTCGGAGCTTTGAGAGAGCACTAAACAATGTGTAGCATGGTTATCCTTTTCACCATTGACACTCTACCATCTCCAGTAAGGTTGATACTTCATACTTCTTCAAGGATACCACAACCAATGGTCAACTGGAGAATCTGGGCTGTATAATGAGAGCATCCCTTGAGTTTCCTCAGTGGCCATGTGTCATTAGGCTGTTTTCTCCTCCATGATGTGGACATTAGGGATATATTCCCACAGTCTTGCAATCCCTGGCCTTGCTATGAGTCAGGTTGGGAGATACCACAGTGGGAATGAATGAATCGAGTCAGCAGCTGAGTGCTGGAGCGCACTTTGAGATCATCTGACCTCATTTTGAGCAAGGACAATCTGTTATGTTTACTCTTAATAAACAGACTCACACTCCCCTACCGTTAACTTCTGGCTTTAATTGATTGGGCGCTAGGAACAGCACCGAGCGGGGCCCACACGGAGCCCTGGACCTTTGTGGTTGTGAAGGACCCGGTTGTGAAGCATAAAATCCGGGAGATTATTGAGGAGGAAGAGGAAATTAACTACATGAAAAGAATGGGACGCCGATGGGTCACAGACTTGAAGAAACTGAGGTACCAAGATGACGCAGGGCCGTTTGCCTTGCTGGGTTTACTGTTTTATTTTCGATTAGCATGTATTAAGCGTGCGTATTACTGTGCTTCAGTGTGGTATTTCAACACATGCATTTAACTGGCATTGATCAAATCCCATCCCATTCCTCCTGTTTTTTTTTTAAAGACATCTGATTCTACCTCTGGAAGGAACAGAGGAAATGAAGTCAGGCCGTACCCTTGTAGAAGCTCTGACCCAAATAATTGCTCCCTAAGTAAGGTGTCCAGGAGTGACTTCACGTTTCGTCATCTGGAACATGAGATTGCAAAATACTTTTCAAGGGCTTGAGTGATCTGATCTTGCAAATGATTTTACTTGGCACGCTTTAGGTCAAGAACAAGTTTAGTACAGAAAAATCTCTGGTAGGCCTTGGTCACACCAGGCTTCCGGATCTCTAAGGAAGCTAGAGTGAGCTAGAGGGAAGGTGGCTGGAGACTTACAGGTGCGAGACTCTGGCTAACAGTATTTTAAATCATTGACCTGTTTTAGGATACAGGTAAATTGCTTAATGTTCATCTAACTTTTTGGAACTTACGGTATTTTCCCTCTCTATGTAATTTATATGCTCTGAAAATTACGCTTTCTAATATACAAATCAGAATTTTAAAATTGTGAGACGAACTATAAAGAATGCAAGGTTGATCAACTTGGCCAAGCTAGTCTGACTCCAGAATTGATCTCCCAAACTATTAACCTTCTGCTTCTCTGTAAGGAAAAAAAAAGAAGCAATAACACCCAATAGGATGAAGCCAGTTGCAGTATGATAAAATGGCTCTGAAGTATAACAGATAGATGTTAATAGCATTCAGAACCACAGGAAACAATGCCTACATGCCTCTGACCATGCAAAATAATCTATCAAAATGAATTCCAGGAAATAGAAACAAACAAAAGGAACCACAAAAAAATGTGCAGGTGGGCTGGGGAGGTGGCTCAGTGGTAGAGCGCTTGCCTTGCATGCATGAGGCCCTGGGTTCGATTCCTCAGCACCACATAAGCAAAAAGAAAAAAGCCAGAAGTGGCGCTGTGGCTCAAGTGGTAGAGCGCTAGCCTTGAGCTGAAGAGCTGAGGGACAGCACCCTGGCCCAGAGTTCAGGCCCCACGATCAACCAAAAAAAACAAAAACACAAAATGTGCAGGTGACTCTGACATACTACAAATCAGTGAAGCATAGCCAGGCTAACATGGAAATACATCTCTCACCGATGACACAAAACGTCTTAAGGAAAATTCCCAATATATTGGATTGTATGACCTTATTAAATATATCCTTAGAATATTCTAGAATGGGATTTCTGCCCAAATGCATAGGTCAGGACAGTGGTATCAAGAAAGATGTTCAGATGGGCTGGGAAGGTGGCTCAGTGGTAGAGCGCTTGCCTTGCATGCCTGAGGCCCTGGGTTCGATTCCTCAGCACCATATAAGCAAAAAAGAAAAAAAGCTAGAAGTGGCGCTGTGGCTCAAGTGGTAGGGCGATAGCCTTGAGCTGAAGAGCTGAGGGACAGCGCCCAGGCCCAGAGTTCAGGCCCCACGACTGGACCCCCCCCCCACAAAAAAGAAAGATGTTCTGAGCTGCAGCACAAGGATTCCAAGTTCACACTTTCTCGTGCACCCGCCAAAGCTGCCTTCCTGTTTTCTGAACCAAGCTTCTGTCCTTTCCTGGCCTTCTCTGTCCCGGTTCTCTCCACTTTGGCCCCTGCCCATCTCTCTTCCAACTTCTCCTTGCCTCCCAGGTCCAACCCCTTCTGCCTGGGCTCTTGCCATGGTTTCCCATGTGGTTTTCCTCCCTCTGGGATGACTCTGTCGTTCTTGACATTTCAGGGTCAGCCTTGGTGATGGCACTGTCCACCCCACCCTCCATCTCTTTCTGAAGTAGATCTGATTGTGTGAGTCTGCGGTGCGTCTCTGTCTCCGTGGCTTCCCAGTCGAAGGCCAGACCCTGGAAACTTTGCATACATCCCACCACCATTCCCAGCAGGCATCCCCTCCTGCAGCTGGCTAAGCGTCTGGAAACTAACTATCATGCATTCTCCTTCCTGCCTCTGCCTTCTCTTACCCCTGCACCCTGCCTGGGATGTTTTCCCCAAGCTTCCTTCTCTACCTAGTTTTCAATGCCCATCCAGAGGCCATTTCTATGGATGTTTCTTAACCTTCTTGGTGTCCCTCCCAACTCTTATACCAGAGTTTGAACTCAGGACCTCGAGCTTACTAGATTTCTGCTCCACCTCCAAACTAGCTTTTTGCTAGATATTCTAGAGACAAAGCCTCTTGGAATTTTCTGCCCTGTCTGGCCTCAAACCTCGGCCTCCAGAGTAGCAAGGTTACAAGTGTGAGGTACTCTGGGTTTTTAATTAATTCCTATTGTTGTTGTTTTGAGACAGAATCTTGCTTTTTAGTACAAGCTAGCCTCAAACTCAATATGCAGTCCAGGCTGGCCTCAAAGTCTTGATCCTCTTGCCTTAGCTCCCCGGATCCTGGGATCACAGCTGTGTAGTTTTTCCTGATCTTGTTCAAAATGAAAATGTCAGGTTTTGGGGTACTCCTAAGGTACATGGCCTCTCTGTTTTGTTGGCCTTCCAAGGCTTCAGTAACTTAGTAACTTGTAGCCTGTAAGAGTTATCTCTGTATCTTTCAGCAGTTCATAACTTTATCATACTAGACACTTACTAATGCATGATTTTTAAATTCAATGACCTTGTGTGGAAAGAAATGAATAAGACAAAGCTCAGGATTTCTCCTCTTTTGACTTAAATATCAAAGACAAGTAAATGTATTTTTAAAAATCATAAATAAGCTAAGTAGTAAAACAAGAGCACATATCTTCCTGTATCTCTCCCCATTCCAGAACGAATTGGATTAAAGAATATTTGGACACTGCCCCTGTTTTGATTCTCATTTTTAAACAAGTGCATGGTTTTGCTGAGAATGGCAGGAGAAAGGTGCACTACTACAATGAGATCAGCGTTTCCATCGCCTGCGGCATCCTGCTGTCCGCACTGCAGGTATGTTGTCCATCCACAGGCCCCTGGGGGAGAGGTGAGACTTGAAGCCCCACCACAGCCTCAACAGAAAATGTCAGCTGACATTCCAACCTAGAGTCACTTGTAGCTCCGATGTGAAAACGGACCCTGGAAACCTGGATTGTTGGGTGTGATTATTCAGTAAGGGGGAATTCATAACACTGTGTGTTGTGTTTTCACTCTTTTGTAACAACATGTAGCTTCAGGGGTTTAGAAGACACACAGGAAGAACTTCAGAGCCTCAAAGTCACAGAGTAACTTCCGTTGGTATGAGGCTGTTATTACCTGAGCTGATGGAATTACTAAAAAGCTGTAAGGAAGGCTTGAGGACAGTTAACACTGTGTTGGAAAGATGATGATATGTTCACACAGATTTCTATCTACACAAGAACTAGAGCAGTGCTACCACAGCAGGGCTGTGGAGAAACGGAGCAGGATAGAGCTGTGCCTTGCAAACCATGGAACATTCCTGGAAGGCTCTGGGGTAGGCTAGCTCAGGAGCTCTCTGTCAGGGTGGGGCCCGTGTCTAGGTAGAGGATGGAGAGATGGTATAAACTCATAAAAGAAGGCAAAAAGATTTTAAGAGCGAAAGATCCTACTTTCAAGAGATAATTCAAAAAAAATATTAGGAGCTTCCTCTATCTCATAAAGAGAATTTTGGAAGTCAGTAACACCTTACAAGATGCAGTCTTGGTTGCAGACAAGAGAAACAGGCTTATAGACTATTTTGAAAATTGACTTGATGAAGATGGCATTTGTTTTCCTTTTTTAATCTGCGTTCTTGTTGAGTTTGCTGCCCTCTAGTGGCCACCAGGCATAATTCCTTTTTTTTTTTTTAAATGGGTTGTGGGGCCTAAACTCTGGGCCTAGGCACTGTCCCTCAGCTCTTCAGCTCAAGGCTAGTGCTCTACCACTTGAGCCACAGCGCCACTTCTGGCTTTTTCTGCTTATGTGGTATTGAGGAATTGAACCCAGTGCCTCATGCATGCGCTGTACCACTGAGCCACCTTCTCAGCCCCGGCATAATTCTTTTTTAACAAATATTTTACTGAAAAGGTGATGTACAGAGGGGTTATAGTTATGTAAGGTAATGAATACATTTCTTTTCAAACAGTGTTACCCCCTCCCTCATTTTCTCCCACTTTCCCTCCCCCTGACTCCTCTCCCCCCACAAGTTGTAAAGTTCATTTTCAACGTAGTGTCTAGCAAATATTGCGGTTGCATTGGCTCACCTTTTGTCCCACCATTTCTGTGATTCTCCTTCCCTTACCTAAATCAGATAAACTTACACACAAGACAAAGGGTACCAAAATCAGAAACAGTGACCACGGGCAATAAACCAGAGGAGGAAGAAAAAAGACAAAAGCAGTAACTGCAAGCAATATATTAAAAAAGAAAAAAGAAAAAACAACCACCAAAACCCCCTCTAGTTTCTGTATCATGGAGTTCATTTCGATTAGCATCATTTTTTATGGTCAGATGTACATAGCTGTTGGGCTATTGTGATCCTTTGCTAGGACTATCCTCGGTGTATACTAATTATTCCAAATGAGGGAAACCATGGGACCTATGTTTCTTTGGGCCTGGCTTACTTCACTTATATGATTTTTTCCCAAGCCTTTCCATTTCCTTATGAATGGGGAGATGTCATTCTTTCTGATGGAAATATAGAATTCTGTTGTGTATATATACCACATTTTCTTGATCATTCATTTACTGAGGGGCATCTGGGTTGGTTCCATATCTTAGCTATGGTCAATAGTCACCAGGCATAATTCTAAGGGTAGGCTACTGCATAGAAAGAAGAGAGAAATCTTCAGGGCACCTCATCTTGAACACTTGACCTGGCTCATTGAGCTCCCTGTGCAGCCCCGGACCATTTTGGCTCAGGCTTCAAGGTGGTGATATGGTTGGAAAAGCAAAGTCAGGGAAGAGAGCAGTTGGAGAAATGTCTAGAAGCAGCCCATTGGTTTTACTTAGGTGTCCATTATTTAGAAGCTTAAGGAGAGAGGGATGGGGAGGGGGATTGCCCACCCTGAGCCCCACTCTCCGGAGTGTTTTCAATAGGACAGTTCATTGCTTCCATTTGTTGGTTCTGTGGTTATTGGACCACCTTGGCCATGTTGTTGTTCAGAATAAAATATGTAAACCTTTATTAATAACATATTAAGATATAGCCTTCAACACTTTAAAGTTATGAATATGGTGATACTTTAGGAGTACCATATATTACCATGTGATATGTAAATGCAATTTATTTTCTCCAGTACTGGGGCTTGAACTCAGGGCTGCTTTTTCATCCAGGACTGGTGCTCTACCACTTGAGCCATTCCTCTAGTTCAGCATTTTGCTAGTTCATTGGGGATAAGAGTTTCTTGGCTCTGTCTACCTGGGCTGGCTTCAAATCTCAATGCTCAGATCTCAGCTTACTAAGCAGCTAGGACTGACAGGTGTGGGTTAACACAAGAGCCAGGCTGGCCTTGCCTGTCCAGCCTACCTCAGCCTCTCAAATGCTAGGATCACAGATGTGGACCACGGGCACTCAGCCTCATGTCTGTGAACGTAGTGGGTGACAAAATCTTAAATGTTGCTAATGCTCTTAGGAGTTGTCGTTTATGTTTATTACCAAGTAACTGCTAAATTTCAGTTAGAGGTTAGAACACAAAGATCTATTCCTTTTCCACATTCAAAGACCTGTTGAATTCAATCCTTGGCCCTTCATGGGTCTGAGGATTCCAGGTATAAAACTCTGACCAATGGCAAGATGAAATAGTCACATTAAGAGAGATTGATACTAACAGAAATCAGCTTTACATTAACAAAAGGAACCGGGGAACATACTTGGTGTTCTTACTGCTTGTACTGCCAAAGATTCACAGAATTCCATATGGAGTCAAAGCTGTGTCTTGAAGGCTAACTAAAATATCAAGTAATCGTGAGTAAACACATTAATATTTTCTTGGTGAAAGGTCAAGATTTACCTATTCCAAACTCAAGTACAACATGATATGACTAAAGAAGAGAAACAACATCATGAGGTAGAGACAGTCTAAGCTCACAGGAAAGAAGAAGCCAGTAGATTTTTCAAAGCACAAGCTGTTGAGAACAGTCCCGCAGACGGCATAAACGCCACAAGACGATGCAGTGCTCTGTGTGAGCTCTTCAGAGGAGATGAGACCAAGCCACGCCAGGGCCCACACTTTTGTGAATTCACATATTTATATGACTGCTATTGACAGCCAACCACAGCCAGATGGACGGCTGGAGTTGAGGGAAGAGTATTTAGCAGGAAAGTCATAGTCGAATCAGGGCCAGAATATTGCAATAGTCGACTGCAGCTACCAGCATGGCCATGTTTGGAGCATCAAGCGACCCCTTAGCTCAGAAGGAATTCTCTGGGTATTCTGCCATTCCTCAGGTACAGCCAGATCCTCACATTTCTTTTTGCTTATGTGGTGCTGAGGAATCGAACCCAGGGCCTCAGGCATGCAAAGCAAGCGCTCTACCACTGAGCCACCTTCCCAGCCCATCACATTTCTTTCTATAAAATGTAACCATTCCGAATGCTCAAGCGTGGCTGAAAAGATAAAGCTGCCATTAGTTCTTCTTTCACGTGCTTCCCCTTGCTTGGGTTGAAGAAGTCGGAGGGAAGTAGAGAGCACCAGTGAGATTCTTGATACCTGTGACCTGAGCTCGCCTCCTCTCTGCTGTCCACGTTCCAGGAAATGCTGGTGTGAGCAGGCGCAGTGGGGATGCGAGGGCGCAGAGCTGTGATTTTAAAAATTATTTCCTGTAACTGACTTTTAACTGTGCTGCTGTCTCTCTCCCATTCTAGAATGCAGGGCTGGTGACGGTCACCACCACGCCCCTCAACTGCGGTCCTCGTCTCAGGGTGCTCCTGGACCGCCCCACAAATGAGAAGCTGCTGGTGCTGCTCCCTGTGGGGTACCCCGGCAAAGAGGCCCTGGTACCCAACCTCAGCAGGAAAGCCCTGGACCAGATCATGGTGACAGTGTAGGCAGGAGCCTGTGGGGGAGCTGCTCAGACGGGCCTGCTCCCCTCCTCTCCCCTCTGCTCTCGCGCCCAGTCAGGTCTCTCCAGGCCCAGTCAGGCCTCTCCAGGCCGGCAGCAGGGAGGCTGTCCGCGTGACACTGTTCTCCGCTCTCCAGCACGTTGAGTCCAATGTTCTCACCAGCTGTGTGAGGAGGGGAATGGAGGTACAAGAGACCATCAAGGATGTCCACTTGCATTTCTTATCTACACCGGAAGTGCCTTGATGCTGTACTAAGAATATGCCCCACCTAGTACATGTTAAAAACCATTGTCGAAAATCACTGGTAGCATTTTAAATTAAAACAAAACAACAGCAACAACCAACTCTCTTGCTGGTACCAGTAGCTCATGTCTGTCATCTTAGCTACTCAGGAGGCTGAGATCTGAAGATCATGGTTCGAAGTCAGCCTGGGTGCGAGTGTGTATGTAAAAGGAGTCTCTCCAATGAATTAGCAAAAAAAAAAGCCAGAAGTGGAAGTCGGATCAAGTGGTAGAGCACTAGCCTGGAACAAAAAGCTCAAGGGCAGCACGTAGGCCCTGAGTTCAAGGCTCAGGACTAGCACTCCCCCCCCACCCCACTATACCTCAGAGAAATATGTAATCAGAAAGTTTAATATAGTAAGAATTCAACTATGTGATGATTCTTCAGTTTAATTTGTATGGAAATAAATAACTTCCCACCTTCTGAGCTCCGGTGGCTCCAAAGGAAGGATATGCCTTTGTGGTGTACTCTTTTACTGAACTTTGTGGATATTTTTGCTAGTTTTGAATACATATTTTACACATTTTAACTTTACATAGACAGGAGCATACATTATATACTATTCAACACGTTTCCTAAGTCATGCTTTTAATCTGCACAGGTGCAGGCAGATCTAGGTCCTTCATTTTCATGGCTCTCGACCTCTATCTGAATTTACTGTATGCTCTTCATTTTCTTTTGGCATCCTGTTCCCTTCATTCTTTTTCCTTGAGTAAATGCTTAGCACTTCTCTAAAGGACAGATCTAGGAAAGCACTGCTGGGTCCTTCCACATGCATCGCAATATCTTTATCCAGATGTTGACACATTAGCCTGCAATACCTTTTTGCTTCCTAAAATACTTAAAATCCCATTTTCTTTCATGTTTCTTCCATAACCCGATGGCAAATTGGGCCATGGTTTAGGTATAATTTAGGTATGGTGTGATTGTCCTTCATGTATCTGTGTGCTTGGTCTCCTGGCTGTTGGTCCTGGAGGATGATAGAAGTTTCAGGATGGTAGGCTCCGTGGAGAATCTTCAGGAAGGTGTGAACTAAGTTAGCTCTCATGCCACCCTTTAGTAGTCTTTGAAAGAGGCCTGTTGTAAAAAGAACAATCTTAATCCCTCCCCCTCGCGTTCTGGTTCAAGTAATCTATCTGAGGTATAACATTATAGCAACAAAAACAAACCAGCACAAACCCTAAGACATCTCATTGGTCACACTCATCCCTGCGCCCCTGGTCCCTAGAACAGTGGCTGTTTGTTGAATGGTTGAGTAAATGGAGGCCCAGGGCTGTTGTGTCTGGTCTTAGTGTCACATCATGACAACCCAGTGGCATTCAAGTCAAGACTTCTGACCCCATAAAACGTGGCTAAGGGGAAGCCGTCATTGTTAAGGCCATCCAAGGTATGGCTCTAAAGGCTCTGTCCCCTTTCCATGACTTCATACTGAGGACCAGGCACCTTTCCCTTAGTGTGTTTGTATTGCTATGAGCCAGACACATTCTCCTAGTGCACAGTGGAGTTGCAATTCTAGAAGATTCTTCACAGATCAGGGCCTGAACTCAAGGAATTAGGAACAGAGCTTCTGGGGCCAGGGAACTGCAAAGCCCCAGGATCCTGGCAGTGGCAAAGAGCAGGGGACACGAGCCACTGTGGACCCAGCAGAGGTCTCTTGTGGAAAGCTGGAGGTCACATAAGTCTTTAAAAGGCAAAGAAGGAATCACAAAAGAGGCTTTTCCCCCAGCCGTCCGTACATCCCACATTGCTTTGAGCCAAGATGGAGAGCCCTAGAGAGACAGCTCAGAGGTATACACAGGCTTGGAGACGGTTGGTTTGGGGTCTTTTCCTTTGTGTTGATTCTGGCCTTTCTTTCCAGTCATTTGCATGTGGTTTCCCTCCCACATTGTTTTGGAATCCAGCCTGGAATGTATAAATTACTTACTGAGCAAGCAAACAGCGGGGCCACCAAAGGAATTGAAAATAAAACCCCCTGAAGTGGGGTTGAGGAAGGGCAGTGAGGCGGGGGAAGAGTGAGGGCAGCCTGGGGAAGGGGAGGTTAAAAAAGAAAGGCTGAGGACATGAATTCCAAGCGACTGTGACCCAAACTCCTGGTCCTGAGAGGACCCGTTCCAGCAAGCAGATACTTGGAGAGAGAGAGGGAGAAAGTGACAAGGCCGGAGACAGAGAAGGAGCGGGGGAGACCACAGACCCCAAGATCCCACGTGGGTGATAGTCAAACTCCCGTGGAAGTCTTGGTTAGTCAGATTGGATTCTGTCTGCGCTCTGTGCCTCGAGTCCTTGCCTCTGCCTCTCAGGAAGATGAACATCATGGATAGATTAGTCCCTGGACGTTGAATGGTCTCCCTGGATAGTTTGGAGACTTCAGCAAAACCTTTTCTGTATTTTAGGTGGGAGACTATTGGGGTGAAAGTATCTGAGCCTCAGATTTTGGAGCTGGATGAGCCAGCTTCAACAGAGCCCGCATAATTATGGGGAGTGTGGGCGTCTGTGTGTGCCAGGTGGGGCTGTGGGAAGAAGCTGAACTAGTACAACTTCCACTGGTGGGAATCTGGGGCTCTAATGTCATTTCTCGTCATACAGGGAGCAGGGGAGGGATTAAAGACGATGCTTGTTGTAAAGTTTTGGACTGAAAAAAAAAAAAGGGAATTGAAAGGCTATTTCTAAGTCCATATTCCACCAGAGGGAGGGATGAAAGACCCGTGGTATTAGACTCCAAAAAACAGATCAGAGGACATGCGAGACAGACCCCAGCCGGCTAGACAGACACTGCTCTGTTTCCAGAAGAAGAATCCTAAGACAAGAAGTTGGTTACAGAAGTTATGGGGATTCTGGAACATCAAAGGGGGCAGCGAGGGAGCAGTGCCCACCCTTCCCTTCTCCCTCTTACTGCCACAGGGATGGCTGCAAACCACAGCCTTCTAGCTAGGGGCAGCTGCCAGGCAAGGCAACCACAGCCAGCAATCCTGCCTGAGGCAGAGGGGCAGACATGCTCTGACTTGTCTCTCCCCCTCTCCCCATATTCAGTTCGCTGAAGCAGTCTCCCTCTCCCTTCCTCCTTCTTTCTCCTCCCTTCCTACTTTTACTTGAAGACAAAAACCTTTAAGAGAAGGGAAACATTGATAGCTTCCTAGTAATAAGAAAATAGCATGCACACACACACACACACACACACACACACACACACACACACACACATACTTCTCTGTCACTATGCCAGCAATGAGGTTATATAAGTATCTTTCCTTCCCTGACCCCAGAACACCACACCACGCTGTCTTGTTTTGTCCAGCTCACAGGGAGACTCATGGGTCCCTGGAACCCTAGCACCTGGCTCTACTCCTGACTGTGATCTTGGGCGAGAATTTCAACATCCCCATCAGGTATTTCCTTTATGGGAAAGGAGGAAATGGCAGCTGCGTGCCATCCCTCCAAGGATGATGGGTTCTGCTGCGTGGGGTGGGGGCGGGTGTGGGGAGCGAACAGCCTCTGGCAACGGCACCTGAGTTCTCATCCTGAGAAGACACCACAGTGGTCCAGGGCTCGGCTGTCTTCAGGCAGCGTCTGACCAAAAGACAAAGCTGCTTCAGTCATCCTCCTCCTTCAGGGGCAATGTGTGGACTTGGAGATCAAGTCACATCCATTTCTAGCCTTTGATCAAACACGCAGTTTCTACCAGTGGGAGTCTAGTGTCCCACTGGTTTCTTGCCAAATGTCGCCTGGCTAGAATTAAAGGAGAAACAGGTAGTAGGAAAGATGAAACAAGCCCCCCTTCCCGTGGTCTCTGAATGGCATCCCAATGACTAGCAAATTCAGCCTCTGTCCCAGCACAAATCCCATTTGAAGTGCTGCGCCTTTAGAGTTAGGGCCCTGAGGTCTGAGGCCACCTGGGGCCAGGCCAGAGAGGCCTGGCCAGTGGGTGAGTACCTGGGCCCCACCATTTGGTTGGCAGGTCTGGCCAGTCTATCCAAAGCCTGTGACACGGCAGGTTGGCTTCTCAGTATGGCTCTCCATTGGTTCCAGAAAGCTCCTTTCCAATCTGCAGCCTATATTAATACCATCATTAATAATGCACTCGTTTCTGAAGGAGTAAACATTGAGCTGGTGATTTCAAAGGCATTTGTGGCCTTCTGGCTTCACAAAATAAATCACTGAACTGAAACAAGACTATCAACTATGCAAGACCTCACAGATATGGACAGTTTGGTTCATAAAATTAAAATGAGGCTTTTGAAACTCGTCTATGTGTCACACACTCTTTTGTGTACCTGAAGCTAGTGGACTTCAGCTTTTCGGTTAGGTGTTTAAATGTAATTAAATGAACACTTCTGCCTTTCTCTTAATTAAGGGCTAAGAAACGAAGTGATTTAACTTATGCCAATTTTCACCCATGCATGATTGTTTTTTCCATGTTGAAAGCAGACCTCAGAGTTTCCTAGCTTAGAGGCAGAAACTAAACCAGAGCCAGCATGAACCCTGGCAGTGACCTGTAAAAGGAAAAGGGTGGAGGAGATGCTAGGAAGAACAGGAGAGATAGCCACGAATTAAAACTCATACAGGATGTGAAAATCAAAGGCGATGGATGGTCGCTTTCATTCTTTAAGACTTTCTATCTCAAGGCTTGTTTCCATGGCCATGTCCATACTTGATGCATGCAATGTTCCTCATTTATATCCATCGGCCCCATTTCATGCTGGTGATTGAATTTAGGGCATCGTACATGTCAGCAAACACTCTGCCACTAAGCCCCAGCCCTAGCTTTCACTTATTTTTTTTTTAAATATATCTATTCTCAATAAAGATTTAAGGCAGCTGGTTAAATTGAAGTTATTTGAAAGCCACAGACCAGAATAAACAGAAGGATGGAAGACGATAAGAAGACTACTTCTGACTAGCCATGCTTCACTTCAGCACTGAGTGCAAATGTATAAAACTTAATTCAAGATGATTGCATTGCATCGTGTTATCTACGCACGGGATCTCTTGAGAATTGTCCAACTGTAGCAAGACTTCTCTAAAGAGTACTTACTCTAAAGAGTACTTCTGTGTTTGTTCT